AGGTGGGTTTTGAGGGAGCGCCTGTATGTGGGGAGGGAAGGCGACAGTCGGATGGATTGGGGCAGTGAGTTCCAGAGGATAGGGGAGGACCTGGAGAAGTCTTGCAGTCGTGCATGGGAGGAGGAGACCAGGGAGCAGGATAGAAGGAGGTCCTGTGAGGAGCGAAGGGTACGGATAGGGCGGTACTTGGGGATCAGGTTGGAGAGGTAGTCAGGGGCAGTGTTGTGAACGGCTTTGCAGGTCAGGGTTAGGAGTTTCAATTTGATGCGTTGGGCAATCGGAAGCCAGTGGAGGGAGAGGCAGAGGGGGGTGGCAGAGGTGGAGCGGGGGTGGTGAGGAGGATGAGTCTAGCTGCTGAGTTCAGGATGGTCGGGAGCGGGGAGAGCCTGAACTTGGGTAGGCCAGTGAGAAGAGAGTGTCAGTAGTCAAGGCGTGAGATGATGTCAAGACTCCGGGTATGACCAGAGGTATGTGAACTGACGCAGGGGAAACGCAGGCTTCAGATAAGTTATAAACAATATAATTTATTAAAGACTAACAATACAAACATAAACGCAGTGCACCAAACCCCAAGCTAACACAAATACATACAACAAGGTGAAACAAACCCAAACCTAAACTGATACAGATACACAGGTATATACACATAAAGAGCATAACGTAATCAGGCAGGCCGGGTCGATAACTATCGGGCAGGTAAGTACAGGAGGAGCAGGTGGAGAGAATGGTCAGGGTCACAAGCCAGGGATCAAAACAGGAGAAAGTCAGCAGGGGTCAGGATCAAGCAGGGTCAGGAACAAGTCAGGCAGGAACAGGAACGCAGGTTACAAGATACAGGGGCCCAGGAAAAACACACACCAAGGCCCAGACTGCAGGTCTGGCCATCCCTTAAATACACCTGCATAATCAGCTTCAGGTGTTTGGCTGGCTGCAGGGTTGAGTCTCTGATTGCTGAGAGCACCCGCTGGCCAGCCCGGGTACTGCAGCCCACAAGGCAGGTGAGTCCCACCATTACTGGCAAGTCCATTCCTGACAGTTGATGAGGGAGTGTACAAGAAGTTTGGTGGTGTCTGGGGTGAGGAAGGTACGTATCTTGGCAATATTGTGGAGATGGAGCCTGCATGTGTTTGTAAGTGATTTGACATGAGGTAGGAAGGAGAGGTTCGAGTCAAGAATGACGCCAAGGACTTTGGCTTGCGGGGCGGAAATGATAATGGTGTTGGTGGTGGTGATGGATAGGATGGGGGGGGGGGGTGTGGGCAGGGGGAAAGACAAGGAGCTCGGTTTTGGAGAGGTTAAGCTTGAGGAAATGGAGCGACATCCAGTCTGAGATGTCGTTGAGGAGGTGATGCAGGCGGAGATAGTGTGGGTGAGGAGAGGGGTGGAGAGGGTAAATTTGGGTGTCGTCAGCATAGAGGTGATAATTGAAGCCATGGGAGTGTATGAGTGTGGCCAGGGAGGAGGTGTAGATGGAGAAGAGAAGGGGTCCAAGGACAGAGCCTTGGGGGACCCCAACAGAGAGGGGGAGGGAGGGGGAGGTGGCACCATTGTAGGTAACACTGAAGGAGCGTTGGGATAGGTAGGATGAGAACCAGGAGAGAGCGGTATCTCTGATGCCAAGGGAGAGTAGTTTATTAAGGAGGAGAGGGTGGTCAACTGTGTTGAAGGCTGCAGAGAGGTCCAGGAGAAGGAGGACAGAGTAGTTGCCCTTGGCTTTGGCGTTTAGTAGGTCGTTAGTGATTTGACTGCTTTGACTGCTCTTTGACTGCTTTGACTAAGGGCGAGATCAAAGCAAATTCGAAGCCCACACATGGATCCTCACTCTCTGCCTCACTGTCTGAGGCTCCAGCTGATAGGTGACTAGGCTGTGAAGGCTGCAATCCCTCTTGGGGATCTTTGGGAGGGGAGCACACCCCGACCGATGGGTTGTGGGCACGACTAGTCCCAATTCCCTTCAGGGACTCTTGAACGACCCGTCTAACCAAAGCCTCTACCTGTTGGCTGGCACTTTCTCTCTCGCCAGTTGCCTGTGCAAAATAGGAGTCCCATAATGACCTGTCGTCAGGAACCTGAGTTTCACACCACAGCAAGTTTTCCTGCTGGAGTGGCCGGAGTGCTGCTTAATGTGATGCCTGGAGGAAGAACGAGAACTTCTATGATGCCAGGAGCTGGAACGAGACCTGTTGCGTCGAGATCTAGAGGAAGAGTGATGGCGTCGAGACCAGGAAGTAATTCCGGCATCGTGTGCCATATCAGACCTAGAGGGGCTGAAAAAAACACAGAACAAGGAATAGTGGACCACAGCGCTTGGGAAAGCTGCCACATTCAGCCTGCAGGATTTCACAATGTAAACAGCTTTGACAGCTATTTAAATCTGCTGCCAGTGCTATGATGTCACCGCCACCATACTGCGCATGCGCTGGAACCTCCATGTCGCCCGCGCTGATGAGCGAGCATCACCATCTTGCCTTACTGCACACTCGTGAAGCCAAGCCTTGTTCTGAGGCTGGCACGCGTATGCGCAGTGCGCCGGAGGGGCCGTGGACCAGAAAGCGGCAGCCACCCACTAGCACCAGGGAAAAGCAAAGAAAAAGGGGAAAATTAGACATAAACTGGGACATCGCTGCCACAGGAGAGAGAGAGACCACCGCTTACCGACCCCGCACTGCCACAACCACCTACCTCGGAGAGCGCCTCGTCTGTTTGGGGCGCTACATGACAACCCACTGTTAGCAGGCTATCCAGCCTAAGTTGCTGCTCACCCACCATTGGCAGACACTGTCTCCTGTTCACCCATTTCCACCCCACTATTAGCATGGAATGCTGGAATTGATGAGGGGATGCATCTTTGCCACTCCTGGCACCACATCCATCCGCCGCATCTGTAATGCCTATGAAATGTTTTGGCCTTGGACCCTTTGTTTCTTGGGGGATTTTTATAATAAAGCATTGTCGCCAATATGTCAAACGCATGAGAAATAACATTGATGTAATTTCTCTAGGATAAGGGAGAATTACAGCGTCACAAGACATTAGAACTGCTTAAGATATATAAGAGTTGTTTGCACAGTTTAAGAACTTGTTTGTGCGTTTAAAAATGTTTACTTGATTAAGAAGTTAGAAATCTTTAAGTTAAGAGTAGATAAGAAGTTGTTTGTGCAGTTAGAAACGTTCATTACTTTATATGTGTTTATTTCATGCTGTAATGCTCACATTACTATTGGGGTGTGTTATTATGCAGATTGTGATGACCATAAGATACCGTATTTTTCGCTCCATAAGACACACCTGACCATAAGACGCACCTAGATTTTAAAGGAGGAAAACAGGAAAAAAAATATTCTGAACCAATGGACTGCAGACAGACCAGAGATTGTGGACACAGTACAGAAGATGACCAGAGACTGTGGACACAGTACAGGAGATGACCAGAGACTACGGATATAGTACAGATGACCAGAAACTGCGGACATAGTACTGATGATCAGAAACTGCGGACATAGTACAAATGACCAGAAACTGCGGACATAGTACAGATGACCAGAGACTGCGGACACAGCAGGGTTCCCCACTGACAGCTGAGTGTAAAAGAAAGAACTGATGGCAAATTAAAAAATTATTTTAAAAATGGTGTGGAAAGGGGGGGGGGGGGAGACGAGGGAGCGCTCCCTCCTGAACCATACCAGGCCACATGCCCTCAACATGGGGGGATGCTTTGGGGGGTCCCCCTCAACATGGGCCTCTTCCCCACAACCCTGGCCTGTGATTGTGGGAGTCTGCGGGCAGGGGACTTTAGCAAGGGGGTCCCCAGATCCCAGCCCCCCCATGTGAATGAGTATGGGGTACATGGTACTGCTACCCATTCACAAAAAAAAAAAGCTTAGTTTGAAAAAAGACAGGAGGCTTTGACGAGTTCTTTATTAACCTCCCTAGTGGTATTCCCGAGTGTAGCTCGGGGTAAAGTTTCAGTACCAAAAGCGGTAACCCCGAGCTACACTCGGGCTTACCATGTGGCGTTGCACAGGGATTCCCTACAGCGCTTACCTTGTCCTTCGCTCCCGCAATGCGTCCCCTGCAGCGTCCCCGGCCATCTCCTCCAGCCGATGCCGGCATCCAGCTTCCGTGTTCCGGTCCCTGTGACGTCGGGACGTACGGGCACCAGAACCGGTGGCAAATTTGAAAATTTAAAAAAAATGACTTTTTTTAAAACGATTATTTCATAGCAAAACATTCCTGTATCAAAGCATTTCACATACATTTTGTCACTACTGCTTTTTCCTGTGCCCTGCCTGCATTTTGACTGTTCTTTCTGCCTGAAAACTTAGAAAGGTCCACGGCGTCCAAAAAGCGTCCCTTTAGGTCAAAATCGGTTTTAGACCGGCTAGAGAACAGCGATAGTAAATCAGAACTACTTGCAGAATTGAGTGATAATGATTTGTGGGGAAATTCCTCATCAGACACTGAATTATTCTGCGACTTTGCTCAGTGATGTGCGAACTTGGCGCTATATTTCAAATTTCAGAGTTTTTGGTTTGATTATATTATTGAATTAAATTTATTATTATTATATTATTTTTTATGAGTATTTATTAAATTATAATTTATGATTTCATGTTTCAAGTTTTATCATATCCGGAATGTTTACTAGACTCTTGTTCGGACAGATTTCAGGGAGTTATTCCTAAATTACAGGCCTACAATAAAAAAAATACATATTTCCATGCAAAAAAAGGTACCGCTTTTGGTACAAAATTCCTAACATAATCATACTGCCAGGGAGGTTAAAAGAAGAAAAATAACAGAATTTCCCCTGCAGTAGATCCAACGTCAACCACGATGTCTGCTGCTACCCGAAAAAGAAAAAAAAAAAAAAAAAGCTCCGTTCCCGATGCTGGCTCCTGGCCATCTGATTGCTTCACTGGCTTGGCAGTAAAGCATGCCTGTTATACTCACTGTGGAGCTTAAGGGGTTAATCCTCTGCATTGTGTAAAAGTCCCCGCTTCTTATCTCCTGATAAGACATACCATGTTGAGTCACTCTGCACATGCTCTGTTTGGTGTGTATTGCTAGAAAGGTTTTTTTTTCTTGAGAGAGTGCATGTGATCAGCACAGGGCCAATCGGCACTGTCCAGACAGAGGTCGGGGTCCTGCATCCTCCTACAGCAGAATGAAAACTCCTCCTACAAGCTTTAACATGGGGCTTGACACTGATAGAAGACACAAAACTGCTCTAACAAGAAAAGGTATTTAGCAGTTTATATTTACTAAAATATTGCATTTCTATGTTCTGCGTACTGTGGGAGGCCAGATATAGTGAATGCAAGGTCTTGGGTTTAGTAACAATTTAAGCTCCATGAAGGCAAAGCTGAACAGACAGAGATGTCAATTACTGATATGGTAATGGAGCCCCTGCTGATCGGAACACACACACACAGTTGGTGTTAAAAGGCCATACAGGTAAACTATAAAAGATTTGGGTCAATTCAATTGTATTTATTTTTGTTTAAGTTTTTAAACTATTGTTTTATATCTACTTTTATTCTGTTTTATAAATAATCATTTATTACCTGACAACGTGTTACTAGAGCACAGTGGGTTATCAAAAGAGACGGCACAGCAGAACAGCTTGCTTAGCAGTTCCAACTATCTGATTTATTTATTGTCCTTGGCCTGATAAGTCTAAGAGCAGTGCGTTCACATGTGGTGCAGGAAATGCTCATGGAATGCAAGTTTCCCGCACTGTTCTGGTGTGAACGGGCCTGGCCCATAAAAAAACAATTGGTTATCCAACCAAAAAATGTTGAATCTTTATTTATAAATATTAATCTGTAAACATTTAAACAGTTGTTTAGTCATAAGTCTAAATTCACAGGCTTGGTTTAGAATGTTTCCATCAATGTAACTTTAAAGATACCTTGTTGCTAGATTATTCATTTCAACAATTATATGTACATGTACTCTATATAATGTATTTTATTCATGTTATTTACTTGAAAAACCTCCCTTGTGTAGAAATCCGAAATCCGAAAGCTGCTGGATGACACCTTCTTGGATGTGATGTCAGCAGCCCTATTACCCTCAGAGTAGTCACTTATGTGACCCTCTATAGAATTCCCCTTCCCTTCGAGGCAGCTACATAAAAGATTATAAAGAGAGGGGAAGAGGAGCTGGACCAGCACAGACAGTATTTAGATACTCTAAGAAGAGGATAGGGCTATGTTGTGGACAGAGGGAGGGGGTGTGGTAGAGAATTGACTCGTCCTGGAATAGTGAAATTTTCTGGCAAATTCCGAGGCACAAACAAGTACAAAAATGGTTTATGGAAAGAAAGTACACTGCAAATAATCCTTTACAATATATGGGCAGACTTGATCCTGGATTCCTTAATATACCATGTAACAAGAGCAGCAGTTCAAGTATTCTGGGAGATCTTGTCTACAGAGAAAATATAATTGTCATGGTGACAAGAAAGAAAAAAATGGGATTTGGCTGTTATAGAAAAATCACAGTTGGCTTTTGGTTTGAATATTAAAACTGAAAGATCATCTTGAAGAAGAAATTACCAGCAGAAGTAGTAAAGATATCATTTGTAACAGTTTCATTTCGAAACTGGAGTTTGCCCCTAAATAACCTCTATATTATCAAGGAAATGTAGTTCTTGAGTAAAATGTTACCCTTTAAAGTGATACTAAACACAGACAGTTTAAATTACATTGTCCCTTCTCTTTCTGTATAGGGATGATGGCACTGTAATTATTAGTCCTCTGCTGCTAGTCACATGCTCAAAACAAAAAAAAACAGGCATTGGGAGTAACAATAAATAATATCAATAAACTGTTTTAACCACTTGCCTTCCTGAGGATTTACACCCCTTCCCGACCAGGCCATTTTTTGCATTACAGCGCTACGTCTCTTTAACTGACAATTGCGCGGTCATGCAATGCTGCACCAAAATAAATTTCTGTCTTTTTTTTCCCACAAATTGAGCTTTCTTTCGGTGGTATTTGATCACCTGTGCATTTTTTTAATTTGTGCTCTATAAAAAAAAAAAAAGACCAAAAATTGAGAAACAAAAAACACAATATTTTTGACTTTTTGCTATTAAACACGTCCAGTAAAAAAATTTTAAAAATCAAATTTCATCATAAATTTATGCCAAAATGTATTCTGCTACGTCTTTTCTAACAACAATTCCCAATACAAGTAAATTAATTGGTTTATGTGAAAGTTATAGAGTATACAAACGGTATATATACTCGGATTTTTTTTTGTACTAGTAATGGCAGCGGTCAATAACGTATAGCGGGACTGCGACAGGCATTTTGACATTGGGGGGAACTGACTTGGTGTCACTGACATCCCCAGTGACACCAATACAGTGCTCAGTGCCAATAAAAAGCACTGACACTATTCATAATAGCACTGGGCAGGAAGGGGTTAACATCTGGGGTGATCAAAGGGATAACTGTGTGCTGGGTGTGTTTTACTATGGGGCTGTGTCTGTGTGCTGCACTGTAAGCACACTGCTTTGCATGGTTGTGCTGTGCACAACCATGCACACCAGTGCACAAGCTGACAGGGAGGAGAACTGTTTTGTTTACTACTGGTTCAACTCCTCTGTCAGAGATCCTCGGCAATCACTGGGCACCCAGCACCCGCCGGGACCTGGTTATTGACATCCACAGCTGCAAATGATGACGTGGGTAGGGCATGCGCCCCCTACCCGGAAATGCGAAATCACATATATACGTGATTTTGCGCACCCGTGCCTGTAGCAATATATCTGCTATAGGGCGGACGGAAAGCCGTTAAATTGTCAAATATTTATTTGAAATTAAATCTTTATTATTTTGGGACAATAACATGGTATGGGCGGATTTCTCTTAATCCAGCCTGTGTCTTAGAATAACAGGGAGGTAAAGCATCCATCAATCAAGATGTATTATCGCACCCCTATTATGTTTAGCTGGTTAGTGGGCATGGAGGAGGACAGAGGGAGTGGGCTGTCATTTACCATTAACAATCAAATAAAAATGGTGAGGGCTAGAGTCTTGGAGCTGTTTGCAACAAAAGGAAGTGGCAATACCCAAAGAACAAATAAATTAAGATGGTGCAGTGCTATGTATATACAGTATATGTTACTACCCAAATAAATAAATATGTAAAATTATCAAATCAATATGCAATATACATAAAAACAGTACTTATTCAAGTGCCCTTGCAATAATATAGTAAAGAAAAGACCTTCATGTGACAGTCTAAAAAGGAGTATTAGGGCTTAATCCAAAGTGCCGCTCTTCTGTGCGGAATCCTCCTTCACTATGCACTCACCAGAAAGCTTGCTGGTTATCACCTTGTGATACAATATACCCGGAACCTCTGTCTCTCACTGTTAGAAGCCATTGATGATACAACCAGGAGCCTGAGATATATCAATAAAGTAAACTTGGAAGCTCCATCTCTTTCTCTTTACAACCACTGATGGCGCAACCAAGAGCCTAAGAAGAAGTGCTCACCATGTGGAGCCCAAAAAACATATATAGTGTAGTATTTATTGAATTTAAGATTTGTTACATTAACATGAAGCAATTAAAAGTTAAAGCAAACAAATGCGGCCAGACATATCAAGATGGCCACCGATCTGGGACTCAGACACGGCGGCGTGACGCCAGCAGGTAGGCTCCACCCCTATATAGTGCTGCACCATCTTGATTTATTTGTCATTTACCACTGTGTACACACCCACATATGTGATTCTATAGTCATATGGGCTGCTGAGATGTGATGTGCTCTGGGTAGAGATACATGTGCTCTATCTGCAAACACTGCTCTGCAGAACCCCCAACTACATTGGGGACATGGACAGAAGGGGGAGATAGAGAACAGCAGGATCAACCAGGTTTTCTGCACAATACAGAAAACAAATCCTATACTGAATGAATGAGTATGAACAGCATGTAATACAGAGTTTATTGATAGTTTTTAATGATTTGGGTTAAATGACACCTTTCTGAAAAATGAACCCAACAGAAGTGTGAAAGGAAGTGAAATGTTGCTTTATTCTATACTGAATATAATGCAAAATTAAAAGGATGGAGCAAAAAAAGGCTTCAGCTCAAGGCCTGAGAGGCATAGGGGCAGCTGACACTCCTGCGCCAATGTAGTCATACCCAGTGCTGGAACATGGAACATGATCCTTTGACACCCAAAGTGAAAAGGTCCTTGACTCCACTTACATGTCCAGTCCTTGGATATGCGAGTGGTGCTGTGTGAAAAAATTACAGACCAATGACGACAGATTTTTGGCAATATCACTGTTTTTGAGGTCAAATCATATTCAGCAACAGGCTTACTTTAATGCCAGTCCATGTGGCAACCTTTCTCCTCACTCTACTGCCATTCTATTCATAACTGGCAGTAAAGAAAATTGCTTCCAGGTATGGGGCAGCATGTGACTTGCTCCTCTTTATCCCACATGGCAGTGCTGGTGCTTGACAAATGGGTACTCAGGCGCAGCACTATCACATGGGGCAGAGAGAGAGTCCTCATTTTGACTTGGCTCCCGGCAAGACCTGAGTTATGTGCAACCAAAGGGAAGGTAAGTATAAGCTCTTGATGGCACTTGGTTTAATTAAACTGATGCTTTACCCAACATTGGCAAACCACAGAGTCCTTTTAAATTTATAAGAATCCCAATTGCAGAGCCGGATTTTCATCGTTGCAAGCTTTGGTGCCTGAAGACACCATTCTCCTAGGATCACCCACAAAATACACAACATTTTCTTGCTGGATTATTCCTTACGTGCCTTAGAATGTTGTGACTATGTCTATATTATATTATATGAGATGATGTCTAGAAGCTTTGCTTGCCTAATGCTAATCCTGGCCCCATATAATGCAATGCATATGTTTCCATAAATTACATTACAATTCTTTTAATCAACTTCCAGCCCAAGATTGAAAACCTTCCAAATTTGTCCTAAACTGGTTCAGATTTGAATAAACAGGGAAGTGTATTAAAATAACCATAGTGGCAACGATATCCTAGCACTTCACTACAAGTGAAGCTGTCATTTAGCCACTTCATTACTAGCCTGTAACATCCCTTCATTACAGACCATTTTCAGTTTTTAGTCCT